GAGGACAAACGAAGCAGGATGGGAGTTGCGTGCAGGGATCAAGCTGGGCACAGAAAAGTGAATACGAGGAAACGGTGGTAGCAGCCAACAGTACCCCCCTTCATGCACGAGCCTGAGGTAAGATATGAGATGTTAGTACGGCAACCTTCGACTTGGTTGCTACTTGAATACGGCTGCCTCACGATTGAGAAACAGGCCGACGGAAGAACCAGTAGAATTTACCTGGATTATATGGGACAGAGTCGTTGTGGCAGGCCCTTTTTTAACCTTAATTGCTCGATTGGCTTTTGGGCGAATCAAAACAGAAACCAAATACAGACACAGCAGACAACACACAAAAGACAGAAGAAGCAAAGTCTGTGATTCTCTGTCCATTGCCGTGCTGAAGAATGTCACCTGCTTCCTCTCGGCGCAGGCGACGGATTCTGCAAGGCCCCGACCGGTGCAGCAGCAGCAGCAGCATCAGACGGCCCAACCTCGACCGATAGAGGGATCCTGAGAGGCTGCAAGCGACCTTGGCGCTGCCAGTTAGCGCCGAACACATGTGAAATTGGCTCACACCTATTCCGAGGCCCCAGGCAGCAGACGAGGCCCGACCGTGTGCATGTATTCTTCATCGAGACCGAGTTGTATTGACCGAGACGTGCATGGAAGCGGACGCCACCTTCCTGCAGCTTCTCGTCACTGTGTGCGAAAGCGGGCATCGACTGCTGATATTGAAGCCCGCCAGCGTGTCATTGGCCGATAGCTCCCCCCTCCTTCGGTGCCGCAGGGACACGTAGGTCGTCAGCTTTGCCTCTTAGGTTCAGCACGTTCCCCATTGCGGATCAGCCCTTCCAGGAGGCAGCACAGTCGGTGAGCACCGTTCCCGCCTCTTTGCGCAGAACGAATACGCTCCCCAGGTCGAATATGCACCCGTGGGAGGTTTAGTGGCCTGAGCGCTAATTGCCAGCGCTGTAGTACTGCACAACTCTCCCGCATTCTCCCTTGCTGCTCCCTATCCAAGTACACCTAAGCCCATGCCAGAGAAGTCGGTAAGGCGCATCCGAATACGCCCTTGCCGAGAGCCGGGATGCCCTGGACTTCATCCTGCCGTGGAAACCAGAGCAGGCAGCCTTGTGTAGTGGGAGAGAAACACGACGCCTCCAAATATGGGTTTCGTTGTCTCTGGTTTGAGACCGAGCAAATATATGCAGCCAGGACCACTTGGTTCTGTCTGAATTGGCCGGGGGCGTTTCACATAAGCTCTGTTTTGGCCTTGAAGATGTCCCAGTGGGAAGCCTCAAGCGCGAAATATGACAAGTCTCGTTTCCCGAAAGTGCCATGGCATGAGCCCGTTCTCTGCCTGTCCGTTGTTATGCTGCTCTTCAAGAAATCCGTGGCTGTTGGCGAATGACAACATCCGCTTTTTCTCCTCCCCTGTCTTTGTTGTTGGTCCGGATGCCCTCTTCTGCCGAGATATTGGCTGCGTTCCAATAGTCCCAGTCGGACGTTGGATCCGTCGGGTCCCCAGACTGGTCCATGCGGTCTCGAAGTCATCACTGTCAATTCCGGCATCAGAAACACGTGTACGGACTCGCCCTTTGTATGGAGAGTGTGGTTAGGAATCCCGGAGGCTTAATTACGTGTGTGACGACAGATGCAGACGGCTCCTCTACGATGCTCAAGCCTACCTGCAGTCCGGCTGCGGCACGATAGCACGGAGACGGTCCCTCGGTATCGTCGTTACTGCTCCTCTGTACATGCCTGTGATCCGTTCTATGCATAGCCTCCATTGGCGATGGTCTAGCCGCGCGTCTCGGTGGCATTAGGAAGAGACTTGACCTTTTCCAACATTACGCATGGCTCTCGTATGGCATCATGCATTGGATGTGCATATACCGAAATGTCAAAAACTCATCTTGCACACAAAGAGCCAGCATGCTTCCACATTTCCACGTGTACTATCAAAAATGCCAAGAAAGAGCTATCTAGCCCACTTGTTCGGGGTCAGCGATACATTGTTTGGAGAAGTCCAGCAAGATATCCATATTTTACTAGTCTTGGCCGTCCTACGTGATGATGTAGTCAGATATAAAGTAGGTCAGTCATGCTGCTTACGAGGGACCAACATAGTCATTCTACTGCAGGCTAACATACCAGAGTACGGAATGAGAAGCGGGCTTCTTGAAACGGCTGAAGCGGATTGTGTGGTAAGAACTATAGCCACTAACACAACAATCATGGCGATGTGATTCTTTTTTCTTTTTTTGTAAATGCCGCACGGTTACTGGGAAGGTACTCTGTGCAAGGCATTGTTTCACTCTTCCAACAAAGTTGGACCCAAAGAGGACCCAAAGAGAAACGAAACAAAAGGACAATCGTGTCTTCATTTTGTAACGTTACTTCGATCTACCTAGGGTTGGGGGGGCATTGTCTGACAGACACTAAGGTTTCGAAGCGTAGTAAACTCCTTTCAATGATGAGTTATCCTCCTAATTAGATGTATTGCTTACACGAGATGCAAAGAGGCCATTATGTGTTTCATCTCGTGACCAGAACTCAATGGTCAACATGGTGTTGTGATGTGAGACATGACTTGTCCAAAAAGGAATATAAAACCGGACGACATATTGTTCAACAAGGATGATTAGGCATCACTGAAACTTGAGTCGGCAGTGAGAGACAACTGAAGTCATTGGAGAGCCCCCAGCCCCCAATACGTGCAAAATTTACTGGTGAAGCTTGTCTACGTCAGTGAAGAAGAGGATGGCAAGAAACAGTTGAAGTTTCAAGTAGAGTTGACAATGTCACATATTCTAAAGAAAGGGCGTCAAAATGCCAGGTCATTCACTCGGATAGTCCCAACTGACATTTCTTTTTAGCATCTCCTACCTTGTATCTTCGTGTCCTCTAAAACGCTCTTCGGATAAAGGGCCGCACTTCTCCATCAAACAGTTCTTTCGGTACCGACGCTTGTCTTACCAGCTCAAATCAACCGTGTAGCATCGATCCACAGGCCGAAATTAACATCACCCAAGATACTCTAGCATCACCGAAGGAACATGTGAATGAGCCGCGCGTCAAAAAACCGGTCGGACAATGGCCCAGAATTGCTTGACTGCGGCTTGATGCTTTGTTGGGGCTATCCTGAACGACTTGTTGCCGTCCCTTTCTCGATCGAAAGACGCACTCCAGCAGGCCAAGCTGATACCAAATCCTGTTTCCGTCGAAGAAGAGGACGTGTCCCTCCCGTCTAGATCCTCTCGACTGCATCTCCCTACTTGCCTGTGGTGTGATGCAGGTTTTCGGACAGCCTGTTGTCCCTCCCTCTTACTTGTCATTGCTTGTGTCTGACCCACTCGTTCTCATCTTGACGTCGCGTCCTACTTCGGCACCGAAGTCCGCTTTCCAAGCCAGTCCGCTGAGCTCTGGCACTGCAGATATTCAAGTATGGCCGACTTGTAGTCTTGGAATGAAAACCTCACAAGCGCGCCAACCGATGCAGGGCTCGACTAGTCCCACATCAGAGGGGCCATGCTTTCTTTTTTCACCTCTGCATCAAGTTTCCTAGGGCGATCTCATGGCAATCATTGCCATCCTCGTTCCCGACATATGCAATGGACCTGTTTTGTCCGGGTACATGGCTGTGTCCAACACTTCTCCGATAATACTCGTCATTGCATCAGCGGATGAGAAGGGGAGATGTATATAAGGAGCTCCCTTCCTGCCTCCTCACACTCTCCCATACTGCCTGTCTTTTCATCTTGCTGCCAACCTCCCCCAGACAGCCAAAGGCGACAACTTTGAACGTGCTGAAAACTACGACTGGGTTTAATTAGCAACGTTAGCCATGATGGCATCTGAAGCTTGACGCTTGTTAGATATAACGGGGGATCCTTACTTAGTGAGGATCGCAAGAGAGCTAGGTTGAGAGCTCCAAAAAGAAGAGGAAATGCATGGCCGACTAGCTTTGGAATATGCCCCCATACGGATCCTAAACGATAAGCGATTGAGGAGGCATGTCATCACTCCTGCAGAGTGAACGGACTGTGACCACTGGGCTTCAAACGACTGTCATGAAAATTGAGCAAATGGAAGAAGTTATCGGTCATTGATCCTGTTAGCATACCGATGACAACTGGCTTGTCTTATCGAAGCTGAAAAGGCTACATATACCAGATAACGAAAAGAGGATTCTGATCTGAATACCTAGATGGCGATACGGTGAGCTATACCTTCAGTCAGTCACTGCTGATGTTCATCGATGAGAGCCACTCCTGAAAGGAAGCATGATACATGTTGAGGACTTGTGTGTCAGATTCCTGCCAAATGAGTGCGTATTGACGGGGTGTCAATAAGAGTAGTATATTGTTCTCCCTCGCACGTTCAGCAAACCAGACTCTTTTCAAGACATCTTCGCCCCGTCTAGCCGATTCCCCCACATCCTGATCGACGACATAGGATGTTTGATCCTAGATATTTTATCTTACGGCATCGGCAGTGTATGACACGCCATAGGTCTCCTTCCTTTCTCACGTTTGATTTTAACGAGCTCCCTTCACGGCTACGGTTACTAAAAGAGGTCCCAGCCTACTTTTGTCAGCACCTTCTGACATGCAGGCCAGCAATGCCACAATCCATCCATATGCCGGAATCTCGCCATGTTCGAAGGATTGGAGTCAGCATGCGGCTCGGACTGTCCGGTCATCCCCGGACGACGAGAATACGACAATCACGATCCAAAAATAACAATATAGAAGGAGAGTAGGTGATGGGCAGCCGGGACAGTCGGCATGTACAATATGCCGGGGCCAGAATGCTTTGACTAGTATCTCAAGAGCAAGATAACGATGAAAGTAAGCCGGGACATCACTTCGTGATTGGTGGCGACCGGCTGGCTGATCCAGACTGGCCTGGCGGTGCAGCCACGCCTTTCCAACGACAACATGGCAGCCAGGCAGTTTAGGCAGACACCCCTTCCTGCACAGCGCTCCATCGCTTTGGTTGGCCGATCCAGACTATTCCAAAACTTGCGGTCGGTCGGCTGTGTCCTCTTTGTCTACTTCCCTCAGCCGTTCGACGAGCTTTTCTCGGAGGAAGTCGCTCAGCCCGAGTCTGCACAGCCGTTAGCTTTCCGTTCATGTCTTCCCACGCGGTCGGGCGTGATGCATACATTCCCTCATTCGTGACAATCCGGTACGTGCCGGACGACTGGAAGCTGTCGAGCAGACCTCCAGTGCGGTCGACTTCGACGCTTCCGAGAATGTCTTCGGGCCTGCCAGAGTTGTCAGCCTTATTTCCGATGCACTTGTTATTTGGAGGCGCACGACCGTACCATGCTATTCTCCCATAGTCGGGGGGGTTCCTTAGCTGGACCGTTCATCAGTGCCGTTTTCTTCTCATCAGGTCACTATACTCACATCGCTCAGATGGACCCAGCCGCCCAATCCTCCGCCTCCTGCGCCTCCTTGGTGGCTGTAGACGTCAGCCGGGCTCGATGGCCAACCCTAGCACATTTGTATGCAGGATTGCACGTACGATCCGCCTTTTGTGGCAGCACTTCCCGTGCCAGCGCCAAAAATCGAGCCTCCCGAGGCGGCAAAGGCCAGCGCCTGGGACTTCAAGCCGTCGTCGCGGTGTGCATGTTCACGGAGGGTTTCGTTTAGGACCGACAGGAACCGGGGATTGGCCGTGAAGGAACGGGGCGTAGGTGGCAGTTCCGTAGCTGTGCCAATAGACGCCGCTGCCGAGGGCGGGCTCGTGTCTAGATAGCTGAGCAGGTACGAAGGCGGCAGTGTTGCCAGACGGAAAGCTTTCTAAGATTCAGGCAAGCATTGGTCAACAGGCCTGTGGGAGAGCGTAGGCGACCGTGTCGACTCACAATGTGGGCATTCGTCGACAGCACGCTGATCAGCCGTAGTGACGCTGGGCTGCCGATAGTCCGCACTAGCCGTGGTCTGGGGACGTGCCGGAAGACAGACGTGGGAGGCATTTCCGTAGCTGTGGCGTCGAAGCTGTTCTGCACGAAGGTCGTCATAAACGTTTGCCGCCCACAGTGGAGCCCGATTGGTGAGGGGACGGGCGGTGTGGCAGGTGCCGGCAGGTGGCAAAAGCACTAAACGCGCTGTGACACGGCAAAGCGCGTTTCCCGACGCGTCGGCCATACAGGTCATCACCAATCAGCAGACGACGGCACAAGGCACAACGACTATAGACCTGACCGTGCCCGAAGCGATCAGAACCAGTACTGTTACTGTTTCCATCACCATTGTGACCATGACGGCCGACGACGTGTCTGCAGCCAAGCTCAGCCCGCGAAAGCAGCGGCAGAGCAAGCCGCTGTCAGACTCGTTCTTTGGGGCCAGAGATATCACCAGCACGCCGTCCGCGGCAGCGCCGGCGTCGTCGCAGCTGCTGTCGTCGTCACCGGCCTTTGCGACACCGCTGCACCCGATCCGGCCGTTCAACCCGCACGGAGGGGCGGCGACGACGGGGCCAGCGGCCAAGCCGACAATTCTGCCGATCCTTCTGCCACCGGCGACGCTGCGTCCGCTTGCGTTCCGCACGTTTACCAAGAAGCACAGCCTGACGCTGACGTCGTCGGCGCTGCAGGAGCTGGCGGCCTTTATCGGGCGGCACTGCGGGTCCGGATGGCGAGAGGAGGGCCTGGCCGAGCGAGTGCTGGAAGAGACGGCCAAGAGCTGGAAGAACCGCAATTGCGGCTTCATCGTGGACGGATCCAGCGCCGAGCTCAAGGACATCCTCAAGTCGCTGGAGGGCAACATGAGCGGCGGCCGGGTAGTGCATGGCGGATCGAGCGGCGCAGGCGGCAGCAGCAGCAGCAGTAGCAGAAGCAAAGATAACAGCGGCGGCAATAATGGAGTGACCCTCGGCGGGATCACGCGGCAGGACAGCCTGAGGCTGGATGCATCGCACGAGTCGGAGATCACCAGCACGCGGTTGGGACTGCGGCCGGCGCTGCACGCAGGACGGCCGGCGCTGCTGGCACGCGAAGACAGCCAGGTGAGCACAGGCTTAGACGGCAGCATGGAGGTGGACGACGACGGCGTGGATGATGACGGCTTGGCCGACCCACGGCGATGGCTGCAGGTGATTGGGGCCTTTGACCAGCCGCGGATGCTGTACAACACGACGAAAAAGCACTTTGAGAGGTGAGAGAGAGAGAGCGAGAGAGCGAGAGAGAGAGAGAGACGAACTGACTGCTCTTAGGGACACATCGAAACCATCGCTGCTGCCTAATATCAGCCAGAAGACGAGCGTTTTCCGCAATCGGTTCAACGTGATCCACCAGCGGCTGTTGCGCAACGACATGTTCCAGAGCTCGGCGGTGGCCGAGGCGCGGGCGGTGGCCACGCTGCAATCGGCGTCTCTGTCGTCGTCGTCGCTGTCGCAGACGCATCGGATCACGCCGGTGGCCAACCTGCTGGGCCGCCACGGGACACACCACATGCTGCTGGGGATGCTAGTGGTGCTGCCGACGGGCAAGCTATCGATCTGCGACCTGTCAGCATCAATAACGCTAGACTTGAGCAGCGCAGTGGCGATCCCGGAGGACTCGGCGTGGTTCGCGCCCGGGATGATCGTGCTGGTGGATGGAGTGTACGAAGAGGAGGAGGAATCGGCAGGCCGCGGGCTGAACGGGGCGACGGGCGTGGGCGGCACGATTGGCGGTCGCTTTCAGGCCTTTTTCATGGGCCAGCCACCGAGCGAGAAGCGGCGGGTTTCGCTGGGAATCAGCGGGCCAGATGGCGGCCAGGACCACACGATCGGGGGGGGGTTTGGCTGGATCGACTTTCTGGGCGTCGGCAGCCAGCGGGCAGTCGGAGCACGGATGCGCAAGCTGGAGCAGCGGCTGCTACAGCGACAGCAGAGGAGGGGGGTGGAAGTGGAGATGGAGGCGAGGAGGATGGAGGAAGAGATGGAGACAGACTCGCAAACTCAAACACAAACACAAACACAAACACAAACACAAACACAAACACAGACACAAACGCAAACGCAATCACAACCACAACCACAGACACAACCACAACATCCAGGACGACATCGTGTGGTGGTTCTCGGCGAGGTCAACCTGGACCAGCCACAGGCATTGCAGGCGCTCAAGAAGATCCTCGGGCTGTACGCATCAGAGGCAGAAGGGTCGACGCCGGTGGCGTTTGTGCTGGCCGGCAGCTTCACGGAGCACGCAGTGATGGCACGCGGCGGCAGCGGTGGCAGCATCGAATACAAGGAGTACTTTGACGCGTTGGCCTCGACGTTAGCCGACTTTCCGAGCCTGCTGCAGTCGGCCACGTTTGTCTTTGTGCCGGGCGACAACGACGGCTGGGTGTCGTCGTTTGGCGCCGGTGCCGCCGTGCCGCTGCCGCGCAAGCCGGTGCCCGACCTGTTCACGTCGCGCGTGCGGCGAGCCTTTGCAACAGCCAACGCCGAGGCCGGTCTGGCCGATGGTCGTGGCGGCGAGGCCGTCTGGACCACCAACCCGAGCCGGCTGTCGCTCTTTGGACCCAGCCACGAGATCGTGCTCTTCCGCGACGACATCTCGAGCCGGCTGCGACGCACGGCCGTCCGGCTGGCATCCAAGGCTGGCGAGATGGAGGTGGATGAAAGTCAAGGCAGCCATGGCAGCCAAAACACACCCATTCCCCACGATCTCCAGACAGCCCGAAAGCTCGTCAAGACCGTGCTCGACCAGGGCTACCTGGCCCCTTTCCGACAGCCGATCCGGCCGGTGCACTGGGACTTTGCCGGCGCTCTGCACCTCTACCCCCTGCCGACGGTCATGGTGCTGATCGACACGACCACGCCGCCCTTTTGCGTCACCTACGAGGGCTGTCATGTCATGAATCCCGGCAGTCTGCTGGTGGCCGGCCGTCGCGGCACTGCTCGCTGGGTCGAGTACGAGATCGGTCGCGCCGGCACATTGCGGGAGTGCTCTTTCTAAGGGTCGTGTGTTCTTTGTTTTGTAGACTTCTGCCATAGGAACGTTTGGCCTGAAAGCCTGTAAGAGAAAGCTCGGAAAGACAGAGTGGACACTGCGCTTCGCCTCAAAGCCGTTGTGGCTGACGTGGCTTAGTTCGCGTTAGATTTGGCAGGAGCCCACTACGACTGGGTCCCCCCTGGCCCAACTGCCAGCCCCGCAGTTTTAATGAACAGCAGAGGCAAAAGGAAAGCCAAAAACTAAAAGCTAAAAAGGGCCACCATCCCTCAAGTCTTCCAACAGCCGCAAAGCGTGCAGGTCAGCGATTCTCCGGCTCAGGTCGACGCGATTTTGGCAGTCTCCTGGTCTTCTGTCTGTCTCAGATCCGAGATTCCGAATCCCAAAGCTACACAACGCATCACAGCAGCAGCAGCATGGCCACGAAGTAGCCGGCTTACCTGTCGCCGTCTCCTGTCTGTCTTTCCGACCGTCCCCGCTCTCTTCCGATCTGCGCTGCGCGCCCCCGACATCATGGCCAGCACCGAGCAGCTCGAGATACACAGCAAGGTATAACCAAAAAGAAAGACAAGTCGGTACCGTCACTAACGCGTACAGTCCTACATTGTGCGATGGGCCAAGGTCGATGAAGGCCACACCATCTCGTGGAGCGTTCAGCCACACAAGAAGTCCATGTACGTTGTCCGTTCTGTCCGCCTCAGCCGCGTGTGGACAGCTTTTAACCAGGCCAGAAATTTTGGCATCGTCAAGCACCCCGGCACCGGCGTCACCAACCTGACGACATTCCAGTCCGACCTCGATGACAGCAGCAGCATCCTGGCCGACGGCACGTCCGAGGCCAAGGCCGGGCTCTTTGCCAACAAAGGCTCGGCCCCGGAACAGCTGCGCAAAAAGGGCTTCAAGGTGATCCAATGGCACGGCAAGTGTGATGCCGACAAGGTCTCCGTCGGCACGTACGACGTGCAGCCGGGTGAAGCCGGCATGTTCGGCCTCGTCTTCGACAACACCTTTTCCAAGCAGACGTCCAAGAACGCAACCTTTAACTTGCAGATCATCTCGACCGACACACCGCCACAGGCCGGTCAGCGTCTGCCCAACCTGCAGGCCCCAGCCTATGCCACCGGCAGCGGCACCAGTCTGGCCCGCACGCTCAACCCGCAGCTGACTGCGGCCGCGTCCGAGTCGGTTGACAGCCTGGGCAGCCACAATGCGCCGGCCAGCAACAGCATCGTGGGTGTCACCAGCACGACCGGCAACGCCGGACAGCCCGTCGTCCTGACGGCTGCGGCCCAGAGCCTGGCCTCGCCGGCAAACTACCACGTCGGCTCGCTGATGAAGCGGCGCCGGAAGAAGGGCCAGGGCTATGCGCGGCGTTTCTTCTCGCTCGACTACGCCACCTGCACGCTTTCGTACTACTACAATCGCAACTCGTCGGCCCTGCGCGGAGCCATCCCGCTGAGCCTGGCGGCCATCGCGGCAGACGAACGACGCCGTGAGATCACCGTCGACTCGGGCGCCGAGGTGTGGCACCTCAAGGCGTCCAGCGTCAAGGAGTTTACCGACTGGGGCCACGCACTGGAGCGGGCCAGCCGCATCGCCCGCGGCCTACAGCAGGGCCGGGCAGCCGACGACCACAAGCAGCCGACCGAGAACAAGTCAGCCGACACAGCGCCACAGCACCTGCAAATGCTACAGGAAGGCGAACGCGAGTGGCAGCAGGTGGAGGCGCTGGTCAGCCGCGTCGTGGGCACGCGGGACGCTCTCCGGCGTCTGGTCAAGAGCACGGCTGCGCAGCAGCACCTCAACCAGATGCACGCAGCGCCGGCAGTCCAGCACCTGTCGCCACCAGAAGACGCCGACGAGAACGTGCCATCGCCGCCAGGGCCACAGCAGGTCGACCGCAAACCGTTTTGGCGGCGCAAGTCCTCTGCAGCCACGACGCCGATGAGTCCGCAGAGCTTCCAGCCGCCAGTGCCGGCGCTGCCATCAGCGCTGACCATTCCAGTGTCGTCGGGCGCGTCCATCGTGACAATGGCCAGCGGCAAGATCGCCGGAGGCCAGCGCGGCCGTTCCGGCAGCTCAGGGACAAACGCCGAAGAGGACTCGATGCACGGACACTGCCAGGCGCTCCTGGACGACCTCGACTCAGTGGTATCGGAGTTTACGAACCTGCTGGCCACCAGCAAGCAGCGCCGTACAGCCGCGGTCGCTGCAGTGAACAACACAGCTTCGGCGGTGAGCAGTAGCGGCGGCGGCGGTGGGATCCCGCGCAGGAGCATGGACTCGACGACGTCGGACGAGTTCTTTGACGCAGCCGAGGGCGATACGACGCGGCCACAGGTGCTGCGGATAGACGCGCACAGCGAGGCGGAAGACACGCCAGGCACAGACGGCGAGGAGGCGTCGCTGCACGATGAGTCATCCGTATCGTCAGTGGAAGGCGAAGAGGAGTACGAGGGCGCAGGAGCGGGCGGCGACGACGAGGATGGCAACGGGAACGGCAGTCCGGAGAGCCTGTTCCCGGCGAAGCCCAAGTCGCTGACGCCACTGCCGGTAACGGAATTGGTGAAGCGGCGGACGACAATCCCACGGTCGACGGTGATGCCGCCCAGTCTGATCGCGTTTGTGCGCAAGAACGTGGGCAAAGACCTGTCGACAATCTCGATGCCGGCATCGGCCAACGAGCCGCTGTCGATGCTGCAGCGGGTGGCCGAACAGCTGGAGTACGCGCAGCTGCTAGACGCAGCAGTGACGAAGAAGCGAGCAGACGAGCGGCTGCTCTACATGGCGGCCTTTGCAGTGTCGCAGTTTGCGGGCGGACGAGTGAAGGAGCGGTCGATCCGCAAGCCGTGGAACCCGCTGCTGGGCGAGACGTTTGAGCTGGTGCGCACAGAGACGGACGTTCCCGGGGGCCTGCGGCTGCTGGTGGAAAAGGTGAGCCACCGGCCGGTGCGACTGGTGATGCAGGCAGACGCGGCAGCCTGGTCGTTTGCGCAGGCGCCAGCGCCGTCGCAGAAGTTTTGGGGCAAGAGCGCGGAGATCGTGACGGAGGGCCGAGTGCGCGTGGTGCTACGGCTGCCGGACGGCACGGAGGAGAAGTACTCGTGGACGCTGGCGACAGTCTTCTTGCGCAACGTTGTCGTGGGCGAGAAATATGTGGAGCCGGTAGGGACGATGCACGTGATCAACGACAGCACAGGTGCCAAGGCGGCCATCGAGTTCCGGTCCAAGGGCATGTTTGGCGGCCGCGGCGAGGACGTGCAGATCGACGCGCTGGACAGCACGGGTGCCCGCACGGGTCTGTCGGTGACCGGCACCTGGACGCAGTCGCTGCGGCTGGTGGAGCAGGGTGGCGGCAGCGGCACCGAGATCTGGCGAGCCGGCCCCCTGGTCGACGACGCCGCACACGTCTACGGGCTGACACGCTTTGCCGCCTCGCTCAACGAGATCACCGCGCTAGAGCGTGGCCGCATGGCCCCGACCGATACCCGGCTCCGGCCGGACCAGCGGCTCGCCGAGGACGGCAACCTGGACGAGGCCGAGGCCTGGAAGACCCGTCTTGAGGAGGCCCAGCGCACGCGGCGCCGCCAGGCCGAGGAGCGCGGCGAAGAACACCGTTCCCGCTGGTTTGTCAAGGTGGCCACTGGACCCGACGGCGACGAGGTCTGGCGTCTCAAGGGCGGCAAGGACGGCTACTGGGAGGAGCGCGCGCGCGGCGTCTGGACCGGCCTCGACGATCTGTATTCTGTCTGAGTGGTGGGGGTTGGGTGTGGATGGGTGTGTGGAGAGGTGTATGGAGTGAGTGGACGTGGACGTGGACGTGGACGTCCTCGGTCTTGTATTCTTGCGAGACTTCCTTTTGTATCCTCTGCATCCTCTCGCTTAGTCATCATCCGATGTTGCATTTCTGGCTCGGCGTCCTGACGGGAATACCATGTCTTCATCTTGCTCTCTGTGCAAACGTTGGGTGTAAGAATAGCGTCTACTCTGTAATAGCCATACCAACAGCCGTCTACTCGTACTCATGGCCTCAGTACCGACTGCATCGGCACCCCCCAGTACCAGCCGGCAACATACATGGCGCCCACGCTCATGGTGCAGGCCATCAGGAAGTTGACGTCATTGTTGTCCAGCAGGTCCCAGCCATTCTCGACCACCCGGCTAGGCCTATAGTTGCCAAAGCTCGGCCGCCGGTGCTTGATGTGGACGTCGTATCGGTCCGGAATCGGCACTGCAGCCGCCTTCTTCGCGTCCATGGCCTCGTCGGTCGGGTCGGCCTCATCCTCCGAGACAGCCGCGGCCGGAGAGTCTGGATCGACGAGCGGACCATGCAGGTGAACATGCGGCTGCTCCTCCACGAGCACGCGCAGGCCGCCGCTGCCCTCGACGATCTTGCCGGACCGCACGTCGCGCACCGACCGCTGCAGCAGGCCGCCGAGCACCGAGTCCAGGACGCTGCCGAGGAGTCCCCAGACAGCCAGGCCGAGCATCAGCAACCGGCGCTCGCCGATGGTCCAGACGGCCGCGTCCCTGGTGGCCGTCGTGGCCGCCATCCCGCCAAAGAGGATCGGGTGCATGTCGGCCGCACAGGCCGGCAGGAAGAGCACGGCCGTCGTCACCACCACGGTCGAGCCCAGCAGTCCCGCGGCCAGGCCGCCGAGCGTGACGCCGCCGTTGGTGCCGCGCGGCACCTTGCGCAGTCGCAGCGACGTGATCAGCCGCGGCGTCTCGCCCGAGAGGATGCCCAGCTCGCTCGAGAAGGTGTCGGCAGCGACGCAGGCATAGTTGGCGATGATGCCGATCACCAGCAGATCGCCGCCCCACGCGTAGCAGAGCGCCCCCAGGGCTGCATCGGCTGGGCTGCCCGCATCGCGAAGCCCCACAATCGCCTTCTTTCGCTGGTGCAGCTGGTAGGCGTGCATGAGCGACAGGACCGACGCCACGAACGAGTTGGCAAACACTGCGTCGTCAGTACAGGACGGCGGAGGAGGACGGTGCGTCCGAAACAGCCGACCGGCCAGCCACTCTCACCTTGCGTGTGTGTCCTCGGTCCCTCGCCGCCACCACCGGTCGAAGGTCCGTCGGCCGGAAGCGTCAGCTTCGCCTTGACCTTCTCCTTGACCTGTGTCCGTCAGCAGGTGCGCACGAGGAGACTACGCGAGCGGGGCACACGCTCCCAGCAGCTGCTCACATGTGTAGCCCTAGTGCCGGCCAGGAAGAAGACGCCCAGCAGCACAAAAGGCAGATTCCATGGATGAACCGCGTGAGCGACAGCCGTCAGGAGGGCCGCCACGATGCCGGCCGGCGTGAGGCTTTTCTTGCTGTAGCTGCGATACAGCAGCGCCAGCGTGGCCGGCACTGCGATGATGGGCTTCATTTCCACTCTGCTTTGCTGCCTTTTTCTGTTTTTTTTGCTTCTTTTCGCCGTCTTTGTGTTTGCTAGCTTTCCACGTTGCCCAGTCGGCTGACAATACTTTATCTCTGCACAGATGGCAAGGTGGCCATTCTAACGCCTTCTCTAAAGGGAAGGAGCACGTTAGAGGAGGGAAGCTATAAGATTGGCAGAGGGGCAAGAGGAACGTCAGCCACAGCGCCCCACTCGCTACCCTCACTGCCATTACGTGCAGCATCACTTTCCGCCCAAGCTCAGCTGCCGGTTCATTTTCATCTTCAAGATACCCCGTATCATCGGTACTTTGTACACCAGTAAACACAAAAAGTTTCGTCTCGGCCCTGTCGCCTCGACCTGACTTCTTTCTTCGTTTCTCGGTTGCCCAAGTCCGCACCGTGCCAGTTGCTGCATCCCTCTCCTGTAGCACGTCGGATACGCGTCGCAAACCTGTAATATAGCGCGTCATCGCAGCGACCTCCGACACTCCAAGGCCAATCGACGCACAACACGTCACCTTTCCACCAGCCGCAATTTCCCACGACATCCCTGCTCTCTCACAGCCATGGGCAAGAACGATCGGAAGCGCTCGCTCGAGGAGAGCGGCGATGGCGATGCAAAGCTCTCGAAAAAGGCAGCTAGCGCTGATGTCGCTTCCGCGAAGGCTGTCCGGAAATCTGGCGACGCTTCCGGCGAGCCACACCGGGGCCAGGATGCCGAGGGCAATACCTATTGGGAGGTGTGTATTAGAGATGCTGGCTGCGCTGGTAGCTTGTGGCTTCCGTCTGGCTGACTCGCTCTTCAGCTCTCCAAGACGAGACGGGTAGGAATCTCGCAGTTCAAAAACAACACCCTGATTAATATCCGGGAATACTACGAGAGCGCTGGCCAGATGCGCCCTGGCAAGAAGGTGAGGCGGCGTGTTCCACTGGGTCTCTCGTTTTACTCGCTGGTCGCGCATGCTGATACACAGGGCCGACTCACAGGGAATCTCCTTGACCCTCGACCAGTTCAAGATGTTCATGAAGGCACTCCCGCACATCAAGGCCGAGCTGCAGAAAGACGGCATTGATACGGGTGGTGTGGAGGACGTGCCGGACGAGAGAGATGCGGTTGTTGCAGGCCCGTCTGCGACGAAAAAGACAAAGAAGGCTTCGGAAAAGGCAAACATCGACGCCACGTCGGACGAGGACTCTGATTGAGTGCAGGAAAGATCAGAGGGACATTGGCTACGACTTGTCTAAGGAACAACCATGGAGGATGAGAAAGAGGAGGAACATATGACGCAATACCCATCGTTCTGTTTGAAACATCTACGACGTACCTTTTTTCCACTTCGGGCCGCATTGACTGCGTGAGTGCGAGGCGGCGAGACGAGGCACACGACCTCCTGTTCCATTTCCATCTCCATTTTCGCGCCGGGAAACCAGTATTGCTCTTCGTACTGCCAGGCCGAACCGTGTAGAAACGACGCGAGTAGAGCCGAAGCGAGGCTATTCCTCTACCGGCCGCCGCTTATGCTGTGGCCTTACGTCAGTACCCAGAGCTAGGCCGGAGGAAGTGTGGAGGGTGTAAATACGACGCCAAGACCTGAGCAGCAGCGGCATCATCGGCTCTATCGCAACAAAGCGACGACCTCTCTTATAAAAACATGGCGCTGCCTTCCTCACGGCAGGCCTTGTCCATGCGAAATAAACACGCTTCCCACTCCCTCGCAGCTCACGCACATCGCCAAAATGAAGTCCAACGTTGCCACTCTGTTCCCCAACGTGAAGGTGGCTACAAATGTCATTGAGTATGCCGCGGCCAAGTCCGACATCCTGCCCGAGCCGCTGCTCAAGTACCATGCCTACATCCTGCGGCTGGAGCAGGCCGAGTTGACCATCTCCACGTTCCAGGCCCAGGCACTCAGCTTCCTGGCCAAAACGGCTGGAGCGAAACGTGGTAGGCTTCCGTAGTCTGTGCACCGTGCGGATGCTATGGAAATGGTGCTGACAACTCGCCCTGCAGTCTTGGAGATTGGCGTCTTCCGCGGCTTTTCCTCCATGGTCTGGTGAGACGCACGGCGTTCCCGAGAAGCAGCGATGCCGATGTGCTGACCCACCGTCAGGTCCAATGCAGTCGGCCCTAGCGGAACGGTCACTGGCCTGGAAATGGACGAAAAATATGCCGATTATGCCAGGCTCGGCTTTGCCGACGTTGGCGTGAAAAATGCAGAGATCATCGTCGGCGATGCCCTGAAAACGTATGTCCCCCTCGCATGAAACAGATGCTGCACCGACGATGCTGAGACCGGCACGGCCAGACTCGCCGCTCTGGACCCAGAGGAGCCGTACGACCTCATCTTCATCGACGCACAAAAGACCGGCTACCCCGCCTACCTCCAGACGATCCTGGAGAAGTCGGCACCGGGCGCGCCACGTCGTCTGCTGCGTCAGGGTGGCCTCATCGTCGCCGACAACGTGCTGCGGCGTGGCCTCGTCGCCGACTACAGCGCAGACAACCCGGCTGCCGTGAAGGCGGCGCATCTGGTTGCCGCGTCGGTCGACGGGAAGAGTGACAGCATCGAGGCCCTGAAGGCGCTGGACGCGTTCAGCTCGGCGATGCGGGAGAACAGCCGGATCGACTCGCTCTTGGTCCCGCTCTTTGACGGCATTGCGCTGGGCCGTCTGGAAGACTAAGCTCGGCCTGTCTTTCTGTGCCCTGGAGCTTAGCTTGAGCCACAATGCTCTGCCTTGCGTCAACTTGCCCTTTATTTTGGCTGACGAGTATGTTGCTACATTGTTGCCGTATCTGGAAACGAATGCTGTCATCTGCACAAACGTTCACACCGTCTGTAAAAGAACCCGCAGTGAACAATATATTAAACGCCACACAGCATAGGCGCGACGGGCCCTTGCTTCGATTCGTTGCAGTGACTGCGTACTTATACTTTCGGCGGCCAGAAGAGAGTGGCGAATATGCCAACCGACTGACGAGGACGGGTTATTGTACGGTAAGAGTTGCCGAGTATCCTCCTTCTGGCGCCACTTTAGCCAAATGGGCCGTTATCATGTCGATATAGCACATAGTAGGGAGCAAACATATCACGAGCCCCTTATGACGCACACACAAGGCGGTCTATTCGTCTAGCAAAGCAATTGCATGGCGGTGCCTGTGTGACGGGACCCTGTCAGAGCTGACAGTCATTTTCGCCGCCTGTCTTCGAGGCGGTCGGTGGTTAGAGGAATGAGCGCATACTCCGTAAGCTGAAGACGAACGGAGAAAACCATGGCTGCAGGCCGACCCACAGAGGGTGCCGACCGGAAACCGAATGTTCTCCTGCTGATCTGCCGCATCATACTCTACCAAGTACGATACGTCGGACGTCGTATTTTACACAGCATCTTATTTCGTAGAGAAGAACAGTCTCATGGCGTTCCATTGCAGCTGCAGGATCAGTGCATACTAATATCAAGCGCTGTCGGCGGAGCGCTGCAGTCACACCCGGGCCAGCTTCAGACGATGCATTTTCCGTATGCATCGTAGATTGTGGAGGCGGTCAAGTTGTGAAACTATCTAACAAGGCAACCCGGTGAATGATACGACGTACGGCCAGGGGGTAAACTTTGCATTCAGAGTGACCTACTTGTACAGGTAACTTACAAGCAGCAGATTCCCGAAAAGGAATGTTGTGGGGCTGTGCTTGTAAACAACTCGAACCCTCTTTTCGGATGTACCTACTCATGTGGAAGGTGCTGCGTAACGCAATACTAGTCTGTACGGTGGCGCATGGGTCGCCTTTCACATTCGCAGGCACACACGTGCGAGCACAGCTGAGTACCATGGTACAGAAAAGCACAGGTACGGACAGAGTACTCCGTACATGCTCCGTAGTATGTAAGACACTGCGAGTACGCCAAGTCGAGCGGGCCAAATCAGACTTGCCTTCTAAAAAAGGGTTTCTCGCCAGGTGTATGACCCCATTTGCCTCTAGGTCTCCACCGCCGAAGATACGGTACGGGAGCATCGTTGGATTGTCGCATACTCCGTAGTCTCGAGACACAGACCCTGGAAGGGGCCCATGTACGGAGTGCGAGTAAGATAGGAGCACGATACAGCCCACTATCCCTACGATGTTGTACAGATTAATGCTCCGTAAATACACTACAAAGATACCTTGCCTCCTTGCCTCCTTGCCTCCTTGCCTAGAAAAAGTGAGCCCACATCCCATCTGGAGAAAATTTGGATCTACGTTTGGACGAATAAAAAAGGGGAACAATCCCCAAGAGGTTTAGCACATCAAAGTACTTGTATCTTACTACGAGTAATGCCTGCGACTATCCGTGCTCGTATCTCCGCAATAAAGTAATCATAAAACGCCTTTCCTGGCCCTCAAACCGTTTTATTTTCAACGTCCTGCTAGAATCATAACAGTCAAGCGACTCCTACGCTAGGGAAATGGGCAAATTTATGGACTAGTGGAAATAGAACAATGGCAATCGTGAAACTGGCATCATATATTCCGGCCCAATTGCAAGACCCACAATAAACTTTTGCCTTGCGTAGCGTCTTCGCCTGTGACAGAATTAACATGCGAATACGCCAGAAGCATATCTTCCAACCGAATGGACTGGTATCTTTCGTGTACGGCGCCTGTTGGTTCTAAAAAAGACAGACTTGCAGAGGTGGGGGCCGTTTCGGATAGACCAACCGAGGCGGCTGAAGGTTTTCAACTACGTATCTTACTATGTAAGATAAGAACAACGGCAGCATGAATTTATCTACTCTGTATACATCTTACAGGCCTACTCTGCGAGATGCATAGTAAATGGGTGCGTTAAAGTAAAGTAGAAATATGGCCCTGTTTCGCCACGCGGACAAAAATATACGGTATATAGACATGACTGATTCACTTGGCAAAGGGACAAAAAGATAAGGACGACGCTGAAGAAGTTAAAGGCCGTCGAGATACCGCCAGCGCCGCTTTGGGACGAGCACTACGAGAATTAGCGCGCACGGTCGTGTATAACGGCAAGATGACCACAGCGTCGTGACTTGCTAGAATCGATACTAATTCAGTAGTGTGCCAATGGCCAGAGGCTATAAAACTTGACTCGGCCGGGTCGGCGTTCCGAGCAGTAACTAGCGTCTTTCGGGCCTGTTCTGGAGTATGACTAATAACAGGACGTCGTGTTCCCTTCTGGAACTGGTGTTCTTTGGCATGTAGCACCCGAAGAGCAGTGGATGGAGATGATCAATATTGACAATCCTCGGCTCTGTCGAGCCGGGTCGGAGGGTCGTCAGAGGCGACAATAATTGCATCGCATTGCGTTTCCCCTCTCGCATCCACCTCTCTGCACAGACATAATCGGCTCCACCGCGAAAATTACCATGCACACAGTATGACGAGTCTCTTGCCGTGCCGAGTGCTCGGCCAGCAGAACTGACAGGTCGTGTCTGGCACCCATCGTCGGCACTGCCGCTGCCAGGGCCACCGAAGAGAATTTGGGTCATGGCCCTCACGTGTGTTTCGTGTTGTTTCGTGCGTTTCGTCTAATCGAGCCAACGGCACTGTTGCTCTAGACGGCAACCGGCAACGATAACAAAATCCCACAGCGTATTACACATACATGCATTTCGCCTGGGAGCGCGTGATGCCACGGCGCATGTCCAGTCTTGACGAAACCCTCAGCTCGCGCAAGACAAAGGCTATACGACGTACGGAGTAGGTAGTGTTCACCAGCTGGCCCCAAATTGTTCACGCTTTACGGAGTACTGTCTTCCCATTTGAGTGCTTCCCCTGCCTTAGCGGCTTGGATTTCTCCCCTTTGCGATTTATGGGGCCGATAGGCTCCATTATAGGTCGTCTGTCCACTATACTATGTAGCCCCCCGACGACCTTTTCCCTATGGACTTCTCCTTGCACTAGCGGCCCCGTACTTTTATGCCTAGCATTTGGACGGAAAGCCAGGACTAACGTTTCTCTCCGTGACCCATGGGCAGGTTTGACAAGCTCCCTCGTTCCTGCCCTCCACGTTCGTTGGATCAATTGCCCCATGTATCCCAACCCCCCTTTTTCCCATCACCACGAAAATATCGCTCTGGCAGGCCCTTTTGACCAACCTCCTCCCCGGCGTCGATCGCCGTTGTGGGAAAATTGTACCTTTCTCAAGCCACTTGCGAGTACGAGCGCATGCGAAGCAGGGAAAACTCCTTTGACACTGCCTCCAAGCTCCCATCCCGCTCGTACTCCGCAACTTACGAGTACAGGCTCGGAAATACAAGCAAACTGTAATTACTGCTCTACGCTCCTTAACCTCCTGTTTCTCTCTCTTCCACCCGTCGACACACTTTCTTTCCCACTACCGGGCTCAACGTTCCTATCATTCGTTTCAACTTCTACGACTCAGCTCGTGTGCACATTCTCTCTCTTTTCCCCCTTTATCCCGTCCCTCGGTCCTTGTTCGTTCTCGCTCGGTGTGATCGGTTTTTGTTCAAGCCACCCGCCGATCAAAGTCAAGATCGTCACGTCAGCCTTCCTATTCAGCTGCATCTACGAGTACGACTACGAGTAACAGGCCCACGTCCAGACATACACTTTCCTTTATTCCGGCCGCCTCGCCTCGCACCGGGAGCTGACCATATCAAACGCTCTACAGCGACAAGCCACAATACATCGTTTTCTGTTTTGAATTGAATGTAAGTCAATGTCTTGAGAGGATCATACCCACTGCCTATCAATCTGTCGCTTGTCGGCCAGCTTACCGTCTTGGCCGACGACCCTTTTGCGCAATATTCCCTGCACCCCCTCTTATCTTTCCCAATGCCCTTCCGGCAGCCCGATGTTCCATAGACCAATTTATGGGCTTGCCATGACCCCGGCCACCTGCGACCTGTCGACAAACTAGAGGAGTAAATAGTATAGCCAGGAGGTTCAACAAGCCAAGGCATGAATGGCAATATTGCAGCAGACACATACTCAAGCGCGCAAACCATTTCCGAGACGCAACATCTGCCGGACCTTTTCTCACTGCCCCGAAGCCAAGTTCAGACAGGAGACGGTGGCAACTTGTCGGATGGCAGATGCATGCACACGCATACGAGTACAACTTCCACATCGACTGCAGTTCACTCCTGACCGCCCTGCTCTGTTGCATTGCAGCTTAGCCCCTCTGAGCGCATTTCCCCTGACCATTCTCTCATACCTTTCTCTATCATTACCTCGTTCTCCCGCTTTCCGTTTACGCCCGCTGCTTTCCACCGAGCTTTGTTTTCGGACCTTGCACGAATTGCACGAATACGTCCTGTCGAGCCGTCCACCCCTGGTGGATCATATATGCTTTCCCCATCAATTTCACGACTTCACTGTTTCACCTATTTTTGCCTTCATCTGGAGGAAGAACCGCTAATCGCATGCAGCCTCTCCCGTTCTACACCCTCACCCTCACCCTTCCCCACCAAGCTGGTGGGAACAGAAGGACAAAAGAGAAAAGAGGCAAACGAAGACAAGACAGTCTTTTCTTGGAAATCCAATATTCTGTACGTGCACCCAATTTCCCACTGCCGTCATTCCTGGAAGCGCCGATTTTGTCTGGATCTGTGCGACTATACTCGCATTTGTTTTCTTTCCATCCAATCCATCATCTCCGAGCCGCAAGCCACCTCCGGCCCATTGCAGATCACAACGCACCGTTCCACCCCTACCACCGTCTTTCTGGGCGGACCTGACTGACCAGCTTACAGTGCAGAGCCAAATCCTGGCTTCTTTTCCAGCAGGGAACTGGGAAAGGCAGAACAAGCGATCCATCAGCAGTACCTGAAAAAGGCAACACCAATTGACTGAAGCGTCAACATCAGGATAAGCAGCCACGCGGCTAACAGGGCGAGCACTGTTCCACAGCTAGTCCCCGACTCGCGCACCCTTTTCTTACTTTTCATTCCCCCTGTGGGACGAACATATAAAGCGAAATGAGCCGTCCTTCTAATGAGGCGGGCGCGCCTCGACCTGCCTCTGGCCTCGCCTCTCACAACAACATCCGATCACGAGCCCATAGCATCTCGAGTGACCGACCATCTACCGTCGGCTACGGCTTGATGTCGCCACCGATATCTGTCTCTCCGGAGGCAGCTTTCATTGCTGCCTCGGCTGCCTCCCAGATCGTCACAAACGACCATGACAGCCACGCCAACACCTGGTACGATGAGCATGGCATTGAGCCATCAGGGGAGACGGCCATCGTCACTAATGCAGCACTGCAACTCATCAACAACTTTCTTGATCAGCTTCTCTTCAGCTTTCTCTCTCTTTCCCATTCCACGTCTCTCGCAGCTTTACGCCCTGCCGTCACCGAGGTTCTCAAGCCGAAGCTTGCAAAAGATGCCATCAACCAGGCTGACGAGGAGCTGCGAGAATACCTTGGGGGTGGAGACGATGACGACATGCTCCAGTCACAGCGGCCCACTTCGGCGAAGGACTGGGATGTAGAACTTGTCTGGAAACGCACACGCCTTCGCTGCATGGTCTATTCGTCGCTGGGCGACTTAGAGGAGGAAGATGAGGACCTTTACATGGAGCAGGAGCATCTCGAAACTGCCCACGATCCCACAAGTGAGACGGTGTCTCCAGCTGTGTCAATTTTCCTGACATCGATTCTTGAATTCATGGCCGAACAGGCTTTGATTTCGGCTAGTCAAGCTGCCTTCCATCGCATGCGCTTTATATACGAGAAAGACCGCAGGGACCCCACCTCACCAAGACCAACACTAATCGCAAATCGAATTACAGTTGAGGAGGTTGACATGGAGCGCGTCGCATTTGATCGTACCATTGGGCGGCTGTGGCGATCATGGAAGAAGAGAATAAGGTCTCCCACGATCGATGTCCACCACTCCTTGCCGGGACCATTCTCGGACGATGCCAGCCGCCCGAGTATACATTTGAGGCAGTACAGTGAAAACGTCGAGGAAGGCGCCAATGCTAAGCTGGCTTCTGAGCTAGTTGAGGCTGAAAACAACAGAACAAAGAATGAGCCCCGACAGTTGACAAAGGAAGACGGCCACAATGCAGTGCAGATACAAGAACAATCAGAACATTCGCCACAACACATCGTGATACCGCTTTCAGAAAGGGCCACAGCCTATATGACAAACGAAGAATGGCTGAGCGCAGCCATTGCGGTGCCCCTACCGACCAACGAGAGGGATATCGCCGAGATCCTCATCCCTGGCTTCACCCACTATGACGACGAAGAGGCGCCCGTGGACCGTGATGATGGAATCGACGTTCAGGTTGGTAAGAAGTGGGGAAGACTAGACGATAAGGGACGACGACCACAGAGTCTCTTGATCCCACCAAGTGCTCTTACGATTGGACTGCCCACTCCTACTACATCCGAACCACACACACCCGAGTTGCCTTCTCGGAAACGAGCAAACTCACTGCCAACGCCTACAACGTCACCCTTCTCATCTCCACGGACGAAGCGGGTCAAGGCTGCCGAAGGCGATTCTCTAGCTGCTATGGAGGAAGCCGCTCCGGTCTCAGAAGAGGCAAACGCAGAGGGTGCGAAAGAATACGTAGCACCTGATAGTAAGCAGAAGCGCGGTAGACTGGTTCCTCCTCTTATCACCACCACAATCGGGGCAGCTATAACCACAAACTCGGCGAGAGCGGTTCCTATAGCCGGTATGATGACTGAGGAGCAGTCGGACAACGGCGATGAAATCGATGAGGAGTTTGATGAGTTTACAGAGGAGCCTGAGATTCTCACATCTTCTCGCATTTCTATTTCCGGCCGCAGCAACTCTCCGACCACGTCCGACCTAGGACGACCACTGTCCATCTGTCCGATTCTCTCCCCTGGCTCGCCGAACCCGCATTCGCCTCGGGTCATCGATGTTACTGGTCCCCGCAGCCCCATCTCGAGATCGAGGGGTAGCTCGATTGACGCACAAGATATGGTGCTGTCTCTGTCGCGCGTCAGTGATCTTTCCCGCGCCAGCAGCATCTCAACTCAGCCTATTGCTGAAGAGGATCACAGCCCCTCAGAGGCAACAGCTGCGCCAAAGGTGCCTTTGATCGGCGTGAAAACGCCGAGGGCCTACAAGAGCGAGTCGATATCCGAAGCTGAAGAAGCCGATGCCGAGCCAGTACAGAGCACGCGCAAAATTGAAACCGTTTCAGCTCTTGCTGTGATGCCGAAGCCAATAGAGGCAGTACAAGCCCAGCCGCAATTGACCGAACCGGTCAAGGATTCTGCTGTCTCAGCTGATGCTTACTCGACCCCGATTTCGTCACCGCTACACCCGTTGCCGCCTCCACTGGATTCTAATTATGGTACTAAGGTTACGATCCTGGGCCCCACGGCACTGTCCGGCAGCTTCTTCATCGACGACACACAACAAGACGATGTAGCAGAGCAGCCACAGGAAATTTCAAAAGTAGCCCCGATTTCGATTCCCGAACGCAGCTCGAAACGTGAGGCGTTCAATGCTTCCTCCGTGACAGCAGCTGCAGTAACAGTTGCGGTTGCAACTGCTGCCAGTGCGGGCAGTTTTGTCCAACGCTCCAGGTCCCTACGAGAAACACGTTCTCCTCTCGGTGCTTCGGAGCGCCCCTTGTCTATCATCAGCCAAGAACCGGACGTGCTGACCGAGGCTAATCAATCTCAAATGCACGCTCAGTCGTCAGCACAGTCCCCATCAAGCGATGCTCAGCCGAGTCATACAGCGGATTCTTCGATGTCGTCGATAGGAAGTAAACTGAAGCCAGTGCGAACGTCTGAAGAAAACATTGTCATCCGGTCTGAGGATGTTGCTCGCAACTTTGAACAGCTCATCCAAAGCGACCAAACGATCCAGTACACTCTTACACCCGAGAACATGCGTGATATAGATGTGAGCTACTGCCAAATTTCCAGATTCTGACTGGACTGCCACAGACGTACTAACCATGCCCAACACTACAGGCAACAAGGTCTTCGTATGAAGGAAGCATCCTGCCAAAGAGCAGGAGAAGCGAGGATACTCGGCCAACTGGCGACCGATCGCGGTCATCATCGTTGGCCACCAACAAGCAGTCAGACATCAGACGATCGCCGTCTATTGCCTCGCGGACAACGGCAAACGAAGCGTTATCAGCAGAGACGACACAGAACCAACGGCTGAATGGCCCAGTGCCGCGCCTACCACATCGCCTTACGGCGTCGGTGTCATCTGCATCGTTGAGATCGCGACCCAACGCGCCACAGGCCCGAGATGCCAGAATCCCTCAAGAATCGCTTGCGGATTTCGCCGAGTTCATCCGGGCTACGGGCCCGTCGGTTGATGAGGGGCGCAGTGCAGTGCTGCGTAAGAACAGCGGTGGTGGTGGCGGAAGGCCAACAACCAGTACTTCACGCAATGTCAGCAGCCCAGCAACGATGATCAAGAGTAGTCTCGGCAGGAAATTGTCGGCGGCTGGAAGCAGCCGTTCACGTTTCCAGGCGCGCGGGGCGACAGTAGACTACAAGGACGACAAGTCTGATCTGATCGACTTCATTCGCCGCGGACCTCCAGAGACAGCCGAAAACCCTCGGATCCCTCGGACAGTGGCCCCATTCCAGACTCCGATGGATTCAGACCAGATGGCAGGCGCAGCCGGTGGTCGGGCGGTCGATGCCACGATCTCCAGTCTCCGCTACAGCGCATCCACCAATGTGACGGAAAGCTCGGTGAACTCGTCGACCGGTCTTCTCAGGAACAAGGCTTCGCCACCTGGCGGTGCGGTCAGCAATAATAACACGTTTGACGCACCGGATGCAATGCCGAAGCGGAAGACGCGCCGGGTCAAGGATCCCTATGCGATTGATCTGAGCGACGAGGATGATGAAGAACTGTACGCCAGTGTTGGGCGTGGACCCAAGCCGGCGGCCAAGGAAGAGAGTCTGCTGGACTTCCTGAACAGTGTTCCGCCACCACCGGAGCCGCAGCGACGACCTTTCGACGTTCCGCAGACACGATCACAGAAACAGGCACCGCGAAAGAAGGCGAGCACGTCAAGCCTGATGTCACGGTTTGCTTGGGGCAGCAGCAGTCATAGTCACTCCGGAAGCACGGGCGGACGCGGACTATTCTCCAGCAGCGGTGGAGAAGGGAGCTCGTTCAAGGGCAGCAGATCGGAAGCGCGATCGTTGAGCAGTCGTGCTGGGTCGGCCATCATGGGTCGTGGACACGTTCCGATTCAGGCGCACATTCCGGAGAACGTGGACAAGTACGGTACAACGACGGTGGTGTCTAGCACTACCAATGGGGTGAGCACCAGCCTTAACAACAACACCGGTACTGCTGGAAGCTCTGGGCGGGTGCTAGGAAAGAAGTATGAGCCACGAGAGGCTCAGAATGTGCCGTCTGCTACGCGAGACCTGGCCGAGTTCTTCCGCAATTCTGGGCCAGCACAGCCGCAACGAGGGTAATGGATTGGTGGTTTTCAGAAAGTGTTGTTTTGTTCTATTTTCTGTCTTGAATTGCTTGTAGGCTACGATTCTGTTTTCATTCTCGACATGGTTTCTCGGCTTGATTCACTTTTGTATCCATCTAGCGCAAATGTGCAAAGGCGGTACGATGATTTGTATGTCCAGGCAAAGTGCCGGCAGGGTTGTTTCCTTTCTTTATAGTACTGTGGATGCGGGGTTGTTCATTGTCATTGTCTCGCGGGCGCTGTCTCGAGCATCTTACGCCGTGGAAAGACACGGACAGCTTCCATTCTTATCTTGTTTTGTCCCATCTTATACCTTTTTGTTTTATCTATGTACAGATTCCTTGTACTTGAAATTTTTGGAAATAAAGCCAAAGAGCGAATCGAGTGTCATCGGCTGGGCCTTGGAAACGCATTGTCGACCTGAAAGCTGTCGAGCTACAGATGTTACGTAAAGTAATTGGTTGATTGTTCGCCTGACGTCATATGACATGCTGGCATGGAGAGGGAGCCAACGAGAAGGGTTCACCAAATGCAGCGTTCGACCAAAGAAAACGGCACCCTCTGTCCGGCCGGAGAGGCAGGATTGGCAGGATCGATCATGCGAGAAGACCGTTGTTCACGGCTTGCTGCAGCACGCAGACATGGATCGGGAAATGGGCGTCATGATCGAACAGTCTGGAGGCCTGGCCCGAGCAGGCTCACCCAAGCTAGGACCACCAGACTTGCAAGTTGGTGGGGAGCCCGGACAGCCAAGAAAAAGCATGTTGCTCGGATGATCAGTCTTGGCCAGGATCGTCACACTGCAGTTGTGAAGCTTCGCTTCTAGATCGACTGGCACTGGGAATAAATACGTCGCGCCATATGGCTACAATCGCCGGTGCAGCTGTCCAGCGGTATTTCTTTTCACCACACATAACATACCACGCCTTATTTTCGACATGTTGTTGGCAGACCTACTTAGCATGGCTCTCCGCCTGGCAGAGGTGAGTACTTCTCCTGACGGTTGTTGAACGGAGAAGCTGTGTGGAAGTGCCGATGTCTAAGACGAACTCTAGCTGGCGTTTGCAGCCATTGTGGCCGGCCTCTCGGGCAGCTACCTGCACTCGATGCGCGGCACGTCGTCGTGGCACCTGCGGCGGTTCATCTATGCCGAGGTGGTGGCTGGACTTTCGATCCTGCTGTCGATTGTGTGGCTCTTCCCGTTTGCGGGCAGCTTCATCCACTGGCCGGTCGACATCGTCCTGGCGGCTACCTGGTTTACCGTGTTTGGGCTGCTGGTCAACTGGCTGCACGGTTCGTGTGGCTCCGTGTTCGACTGGCACGGCATCGCGCTGCGTGGCAGCGCAGCCTGTCCGAAGTGGAAGGCCGACATTGCCTTTAGCTTCCTGTCGGCCATCTGCTGGCTCGTGTCGGGCCTGCTGGGCATCTACCGGGTCCACCGCCGCCGCTCGGCTCCCGCAGAGGCGCAGCAGCGCCGTGGACGTTGGTACCGAGCGCGTGTATGAAGCAAGGGGCACAAAGGGCTGTTGATGTATTGATGTGATGCAATGGTGTGCTTGTGTGCTTACTAAGCGAATCCGTGTATCCTTGTATCCTTGTATCTATGTACTGCCAGTCTATTATTAGCAAGCCGAAATTGACTACCAAGGAAAGAACGACGCGGCGAACAAGAATAATGTTGAAAATAGCCAGGCAAATGTATCATGTCCAAAATCTTGTCGTGATCTTGCCGTAGAAAAAGCACAAGGGCGCCAGCCGTGATGATCCCCATGATGTTCTTTGTCGCAGCAAATCGATTGTCCAGGCCGCACAAGCGGCATTCCGTCATGGAAGGGAGCTAGAGCTCTGTTCGCAATGCGGTCATGTCAGGAGAGGTGAAGTTGGGTTTTATTTGCCACCAGCGGCATCTTGGCCATTTGTGCTTTCAACTTGGCTAACACGCGGTAAGGTGGAGATGATCGGCGCTAACAGCTCCTCATTCCGGCCCTGTGCTCGAGCTCGATCACGCCTTTGACAATTGCCTGGTTCTAGACAAACGGCGGTTTCCAAGTATTTGCCATCATGACGACACCTTGCTGGCGTGTGAACAAGGGCGACTTGGTTGATGACGACGACTAAGCCGAGAGTTTCTGTGGCACAGAGTCGAGGCAGATCTCGCGGCATGACGACATGGTCTTGTCAAGAAGCATCAGGTATATAAAGGGAGTATGGGATACCTGTTCTGGCCATGAAAGTTTGATATCAGTATCACCGTTTACAATTACATTGTTCCATCAATCATTAGCACAATTATCACCTTCCATTTAAACCATCAACCATGTCTTCCATCGTCAATAAGATCAAGGAGGTTGTCAACCCGGACAAGAACAGCGACAGCACTTCGGGCAGCCATGGCTCCGGCCACCACAACAACGGCCGTCACGACAACGTCTCATCACAGCCGCGCACCGATGCCAGCAGCGGTGCTTTTGACAGCACTGGCACCCAGGCCGGTGTAGGAGGTGCTCAGGGCCACAGCAGCCGCCAGACAGCCGGCCAGACTGGACGCACGACTGGCCAAGCCAGCCGCACCAGCCAGATTCAGGCTGACCAGACGGCTGGCGGCCTTGATGGCAGCGACAGCTACACATATGGCGGTGCAGACGCCTCGAGCGGCGGAGTTGGAAATCTGTCAGGTGGCGGCATCGGCAGCGGTGGTGCTGTTGGGGGGCGAACAGCCGGCCACACCGGATCTGGAGTCGCCGGTGGCCGGACGACGGCGGGTACCACGGGGGGCGGCGCAGCCCAGGACCCATCGTATGCCAGCGGTGGCCTCCAGGACGACACGTATGGCAGCGGCGTCGCTGGCGGCCGGAACACAACGGGCGCCACGGGTGGTTTCCAGGACGATTCATTCGGAAGCAGCCACAATGCTGGCCGGAACAAGACTGGCGCCTCAGGCGGTCGTCTGGCCCAAGACCAGTCGTTTGCCAGCGGTGGCCTTCAGGACGAGACCTACGGAAGCAACATCAGTGGCGGCCGGAACACAACGGGCGCCACGGGCGGTTTCCAGGACGACTCATTTGGAAGCAGCCACAATGCCGGCCGAAACACAACTGGCGCTACAGGCGGTCGTCTGGCCCAGGACCCCTCATATGCCAGCGGCGGCGGCGGTGTCGGCGGACTACAGGACGACACGTATGGCAGCAGCAATACAGCTGGAGGTGTCGCCGGCAGCGGTGGCAACCTTGG